TCTGTCTGTCTGTCTGTCTGTCTGTCTGTCTGTCTGTCTGTCTCTCTCTCTGTCTGTCTCTCTCTGTCTGTCTGTCTGCCTGTCTCTCTCTCTGTCTGTCTGTCTGTCTCTCTGTCTCTCTCTCTGTCTGTCTGTCTCTCTGTCTCTCTCTCTGTCTGTCTGTCTGTCTGTCTGTCTGTCTGTCTGTCTGTCTCTCTCTCTCTCTGTCTCTCTGTCTGCCTGTCTCTCTCCCACTCAGTCCATCTGTCTGTCTGCCTGTCTGTCTTTCTCTCACACTCATTCACTCAGTCTCTCTCCTCTCTCTCTATCTTTCTCTGTGTGTCTCTCTCTCATACAGTCATTCAGGTCTTAGAGATTTTGAGAGGACTTTTCCCTTTCTGTCTACATTTTAGTGACATTAGGACAATGGTAGTACCAACCCCTGACACTGAATAAAGACAGAGCTGTTTCACAGGACTGTGAGAATCACCAAAGTAACTCGAGTACATTTGTAGTTTCCTAATAATTTCCAAGACGTTTGATACTACATTTCGGAATGAAGGATAGTGTTGTCTTGGTACACTTGCAATTATATATTGCAAAATAACTGCTGAATGACAAGACAAAAAATACGTCCCCAGAGTTCCATGAGGTGATGGATGTAAGTGTGAAAACCATCAACTTCATTAAAAGTAGAGCTGTGAACTCCAGATGTTTTGCCAAGCTTTGTGAGGACATGGAAGCAGATCATGTCCAGCTGCTCTATCACAGTGAGGTGAGATGGCTCTCAAGAAGACTGGTCCTCAATCGTTTGTTTGAACTGAGGAATGAGGTCTTTTCTCACTGAGAAAAAATCTCCTCTGGCACATTACTATGCCAACACGAAGTTCACAGCTAAACTTGCCTACCTCTGTGACATTTCTTCACTGCTGAACCAGCTGAACATCTCACTTAGGGAGAAATACCAACATATTTGTTGTTGCAGACAAAGTTCAAGCTTTCAAAAAAAAACTTGCTTTGTGGACTAAGAGGGCCCAGGAAAAGAGGATGGACATGTTTCCACTTTTGTCTGACATTTTGGAAAACTCTCCTCAGGTGCAGATCAGTGACTCAGTCTCTCAGCACCTCTCAAACTGGCAGAGACATTTGATGACTACTTTCCTGAGGATCACAGAGACGGACACATGTGGATTTTGGACCCATTTTCTGTGGATCCCACTGAAGATGATGTTGCTTTGCCCTCACATCTGGAATCCCAGCTTCTGGAAGTTTCCACCGACAGCACTTTAAAGGTGCAGTGGGGCAAACTGGACCTGGGCTCCTTCTGGATTGCTGTCTCAAAGGAGTACCCATGTCTAGCACTGAGGGCTGTGAAACACCTTCTCCCATTCACGACTACATACCTGTGTGAATCCGGATTCTCCAGTGTGGCCACAACTAAGACCAAAGCCCGAAACAGACTCCAAGCAACATTGGAGGCTACTCTGAGAGTGAGCCCTTCCCCCATTCCACCCAGACTGGATCTGATTGTGTCTGAGAGGCAGGCCCAAGTGTCTCGTTAAGAGGTGGACATAAAAAGGGAGTTGTAGCTTGTCAAAAGACTGTTGTGACTGTTGTTTGTCACAGATATGAAGAGCAACTTCTGGTTCTGCCATGTAAAATTGAATTCACAGATTATAAGGCTATATTTTCATTTGCACTTTATTTAAATTTCATTTGTAGTTTATTTAATTTGAAACTTATTATTTTTAATGTATTTCTTTTATTACCACATATTATTTATTTATCAAATTTCCATTTTTTCTCCGTTTTTTTGAGAGTCCCTCTTTTTTTCTGTAGTGAAATCTAATTATTAATTATTTTTGAGTTAATAAGCTGACTTGAGCCTTTACATTTGTTCTTGTATTAGCTTGATTTGTTTCATGAATTGTTAGCCTGTTGGGCTTCTTTTTTCTTCTATTTTGTTGTATATGGGAAGTTGGAAATGTTCTCGTAGTAATTGTAAGATGCAGATATATATTTGCATATGACACAGTAAAAAAAAAACCTGCAAGAAATAGGTCGTCTGTGCTGAATGCGTACCTGCTAGTGTACCTGTGTGACCTCACAGTGCCTCTTTCTGTCTCTTTGCTCTCAGGTGTGTTTATGTTTGTGACAGCTCGCTCCCACTGAGAGCTCTCCGCTACCTGCTGCTCCTCCTGACCCTCTGGCGAAATCCAATCAGCGTTGTTTGTTAGTTTTTCAGCCGATGACGTCCTCCCTTGGCGAACCGCAGTCGTTTCCGATGCTGCAATGGTTAATGTCTACTCAAAATGCCAAATGGCCTCGAATCCCACATGTCGAGTTGCACCTCCATGAGGATGGGTGTCTACCTAACCACAGCGATGTCTGTTTCAGTTCCGACCGTGACAAACCCCGGAGATGTTGAAACCCTCGTGCTGGCAGTCCTACAAACTCGCCCTGTTAGCGTCACAGCTTTTCATTGCGCCATTAAAGGTTCAATATATGCTCCAATAATCGCGTAACGTGATCTCTCGGGCCTCTTCCGGGTCCGTGGCTCTATAGCGGAGCATGGCTCGGGGAACACACTGTGGTGTCACTGCTGCAGTTATTTGAGAAGTATATTATGATATGTTCTTGAACTATAGGAAACTATTTGAAACTGCTTGTGTCCTTCTTTGTGTGCGTGTGTGTGTGTGTGTGTGTGTGTGTGTGTGTGTGTGTGTGTGTTGGACCACAAGATCACCACGATTACAGGACATATGGGCTTATAATGCCGCATAAGGGAACTTTTGAACCCCAGGTAAAGCAAATTCCCACATGTCACAGATCTAGCTTTTTTCCTACGTGACCGCACCCCATTTAGGCCCATGCACGTACTACAATTACTGTTCTGATGAAACAGGGGAAAGGCCGTGCAACCACAGCTGGAAACCAGATCAAAGGCGGTATGTTAATTTTTATTTGACCTCCCTCTGACCGTAAATACTACGGACACCAGCGTTTCTCTGGAACAATGTTGTTAACTCTCGACTGCGGGCTTCGTTGTGCGCAAACACACACACACACGGGCATTTAGGTGCTTTTTAAGTCATGCTCTGTAATGTAGTTTGAGGTGTAGGAGGGGTATGCTTCTGACATTCTGTGTAAACAAAGGAAGCTTCCTCATGGTTACACACTGACTCTCTCTTTTTGTGATCTGAATTCCATTCAGCCACTCCACAAAATAAGTTTTTCATGAACATGATTAATGGATCAACTGAGTGATCCTTTTACCTGAATTTGTAAATGTCTTCTGTGTGTGTGTGTGTGTGTGTGTGTGTGTGTGTGTGTGTGTGTGTGTTTGACCCAGGTGATTAGGTGTTTTAAACTTGTGTCTCCTCCTCATTAAGCGTTGGCAGATGCCAGACCCTTGAGAGCACGTGATGAGACATTGATGAAAAGGCTGCTTTTTACTTTTCTCGCTGTCTTCTGGTGAAGCTCCAGAAAGCCTTTCTAGGACTTTTTTTTTTTTAGTGAGCACTGATAACAAAAAACATCATTCAGAGAAACTTACACACAGAGTGGGATTGATACTCGGTTCAAACCAGTCCATGTCATGGAGGTCAGTAGCAGCGGGGGCACGTACACAATTTGAGGCTTTATTGCCGCGTTTGCGCCGTGACATCATTGGCACGACATCTTGTGTGAATCAGACCTTGAGACGGAGGCAGACAGCTGTTGCACCTGATGCACAATTCGGGGTGCCGTCCATTCTTTGTGGCTTTGCCCCTCAGTCTTTTTACAAATAATATGCACAGTTGATCCTTTTGCTGCAGCAGCTTGACTTGGTCTGGTATGACCAGTAGCTTATGGTGGCTAACGTTAGCTAATTGCTATGTTACTGAGATTGTTGAGTTAGTCCGCTGACCACTTGTGCTATTGTTTTTCGATGTGTTTTTACGTTCGCCATTGCTCCACCTGTCGCTGCATTGCCACATCTGTTATTCTCGTAATGAAGCCAACGGTTCGCTCTCACCGCTCTCATGGCATCAGTTAATGCAACAGCAGGCCGCTGATTTAAGTCAAAGAGCTCTGAAAACAACAGTACACTACCTGCTCAGCAACAAACAGCAGGCAGACACGGTTGGAGACCAGCTGGTGAACTGAGTGGAGCAATCTGCAGGCCTGGGTATGTCAGAAAATAAAAGTAAACACAATATGATAACAAGCTGACCGTGCTCTTCTGTCCTTATCCAGCTGTTAGCCACTGCCCACATTGCCTGTGCCACTGAGCACCACTGGGCAGTAACTGGTTCACTGATGTGCCACCATGCTTGTTCACTGTATCTTAAAATAACACACATGAATGCACACTCTCAGAGCCTAGTTTGAATAAAAGCGTCCCTCTTTGCATGTTGGGGACATTTGATGTTCAGTGTGACGAATATTCTTTTTCACTCAGTTTCAATAGTGTCGCACTATTTATTCAGCTTCGCTCTCCAACGTTAGAAAAGGGTCCAATCGGGCAGCCGCTTGGTGCCGTGGCCTTCAGATTCCATGTTTGGCTTCCAGAGTCAGGTGGAAAAAGTGTCCGGAGGAGCTACACTTTGGTCTGTGTTGTTGGTGCCTGACGCTCAGTGCATGACTGCCACCTAGTGATGGGTTGAGACCCTAACTGGTGTGCTGCATAACGGGCAGATGTTCTCTGTTGCGTGGACGATGAGCTTTCCTACTCAATATGTACTTTCTCTCCATTATCCTCATCACACGGGCATAAGAATCTTCTGAAAATGTCCTCGCTGTCTGAATGTTTTGTGTTGAACTGTCTCCTCTCCCGTGTTGTGTCCTTCAGGCCCGCATGGCACTGGACAAAGGAGCTCAGGCTGTTATCTTTGATGTCAGTGATGATGCCAATGCTGCTGCTGAGGTGAGTGCACAGACACAGAGCTACAGCTACATCAATCTACAAATGATCAAAGACAGAGAAAGCTCACAGACATTTCACACTTGTCCACACAGCTGCGAGAAACGGACTCCCTTCTGCGTCCAGTCGTGCTGGTGGAGGCGGAGGACGCCGAGGAGTTGATGGGTCTGGTCAACAAGAACGAGGAGGCCAAAGTTCGTATTGAGATCATGGTGGAGCAGCCCAGATGGGTAAGAACTGAAACGCGTACACACACCTCTCTCTCTCTCTCTGGCTTTCCTTTAAATTGCCTGGAAGAAGAAGAACCCCAAAAAGGGAAGTCTTTTGAATGCCCCGTCGTGTTAGCTGAGAAAGCCTTGATGTGGACTGGATGACAGGGGAGGGTGGGAGACAGATCCATGGCCATGCCTCACACGTTGTCATCTTAAAGTAATTTAAGACATGTGAGAGTAATCTGTGAAATAATACAAACAACTTGCTCGAGTCCATCTCCTTTTCCCGTTTCAGCCTCATTATGATGTGGGCATTCTGCTCACCATTGTCCTCGCTATTCTGACCATCGTCCTAATCTTCGCTTTCCGCTACAAGTGCAAGTCCAACAGGACCTGGGTGAGTGAAAGCAAAGGATCCACACCTCGATTTTTTTTTTGTTTAAAGGTTTTTTCTAACACCGCCCTTCTTGTGCGTGCAGGACTCTGTCCATCAGCAGACCATGCAGGCCATCAGTCGACTGGAGACCACGACCTACAGCTCCCAGGGCTGCTCGGGCTCCCAGCACCACCGAGCGGCCTGGGGGTCAGCCAGCAGCTCCAACTCCAGCCCCGTCTGTGCCATCTGCCTGGAGGACTTCCAGGACGGCCAGGTAAGTGGTGAGAGAGCGAGGAGCATCCTGTATCTGTAGATTTAACCGCCCTCCGTCAGTTGTTCATCATCAAATCTACCTCTGTATCGCTTTCGTCCCAGCATTTGAGGATCATCTCCTGCGCTCATGAGTTCCACAAAGACTGCGTCGACCCCTGGCTGCTGCAACACCGCACCTGTCCCCTCTGCATGCACAACATCATGGGTGAGGAAAAGCATATTTCCAGTCAAATATGGAAATATGACTGACTCAATCATTTTCTTTTCAAAATTGAGGCCTTCTTGTTTTTTGAACCATATGGACTCAATGCTGCCAATAGTACAATTTGAGTCAATTTATCGTTTCCCATTTTGAATTTAGATTTGGTGTAAAATTTTGCTAATAAGAACTCCTATTTTGGCCAAGAATCAGCCATATCTCTGAATACCCTGCAGTATTTTGTGTATTCTGACTGCTGCTGTGCTCCACAGGGACGGAGCGGCAGCCCCAGAGGACCAGGCTCCAGCAGAGTCCAGAGCAAAGCCAGGGTTTCCTGCACTCTCAGCCTTACAGCGGCCCGCGCAACCACCTCTTCCCCCAGCATGCCATCCCCTTCTCTATGAGGCCCCACTATCCTCGTGGACCCTCCGGACCTTATCCCTCGCTGGGCCACTACACTGGCCCTTCCGCTGTGGAACCCCAAACGCTACATTTCCTGGCCAGCAGGCCGCTTGCGTCCGGCTGTGGGTACCACCTTCCTGCAGAGGGTCCCGGGAGGCCCCACAGGATTGGAGGTAACTGCAGGACGTCCACGCACCACTACACCCCCCGTCGGTCCTGCCACAACTATCGCTCATCCTGTCCGGCCCAGCGCAGTGCGTCCAGCTCGCGACTGCACCACACCGCTTCCGTCACGCAACACCCCCGTGGCGCGCCGGCCCACGGCAGGCAGGACGACGGCAGCTGCTCAGGCGGCAGCTACCACACGGAGCGCAGCGGATACATGGCCGACGGGCCAGCAAGTGACTCCAGCTCGGGGCCCTGCCACGGCTCCTCCAGCGACTCTGTTCTCAACTGCACCGACGTGTCCCTGCAGGGGGTTTATGGCAGCTGGTCCACCTTCCGTAGCTCTCTGAGCAGTGACTACGATCCGTTTGTGTATTATGGGCCAGGTTCTGGGCGCCCCCCCCGCAGGAACAGCCTGGAGGCGAGCGCCCAGGCCCGGCCCAGGTCTCTGGATTCTGTGGTGAACAAAGCAGGCTGCCCTGAAGAGCAGCCGCAGACTGTGTTCAGCCACATCCACTACCACCGCCACAGACACCACCACTATGAGGAGGGGGAGCACAGCCAGGGCCCGAGCAGAGGCTCGGACGAGGAGCAGGGGGCCGCAACTGCTGCTGCTGCTGCTGCACCTGCTGCTCTTGTCCTTGAAAGAGACTTGCCTGTCTGCCCTCCTAAGCACAGCCCCTGCCAGTGCCCAAAGCCAGACCCCACAGATCGGCCCAGTCCTGGGACAGAGTGCCAGGACCATGACCCCAGCGGCCCTACGGGACCTCCTGTACGGGTGTCCTCAATCCCTTTACAGCTTCAACCACACTGCTGCCACCAGGGACACGGACACCCTCCCGCTCCTCTCGAGCGAGTGGGTGGTTGTGTGCTTGATGGCCCCTCTGTTCGCTTCCACCAGAGCCTAGACCTGCAGGACGACCGTAGCATCCACATCCACTACGGTCAGGGCCCGGGCTTCTGCTGCTCGCCTCCTGAACTGCACCCTGCATTGCTCCCCGTGCCCCTCATTCTGGACTCTGGAGGTATGGAGGACTGGCCTTGCTATGCCGGGGCTCACGTTGTGTGGCAAAAGCGGGTGCAGCAGGCCCGCTCAGAGCCTCAGCTCTTGGGGCCTGGGACCTCTATGGACAGGCCACCATGCAGGTTCCACCACAGCCCCGCCGCCGACCGCAACACAGACATTTGTTTGTACTGCCAAACATTACACCACAATCAGGGTGGGTGTCTCACTTGTTTATAACATGACCAGTCCTGTAGACTGAAAGGATCATTTTGGGTTATTATTGTCATAGTTTTGTCAATCATTTCTATTGGTTGTGGGTTGTACTCAGCGAAATAACTGGTAAGTTGTTGGAACACGGCGACATCGCTACAAGAAAACGAGAGCAGTCAGATGATCTGACAGGTAAACAAGCCAGATTTGTGGAAACCGCTTTATTTGGAGGTTAAACCACCTGAAGTGTCACTCATTAAGAGCTACAGTAAGTACGGCAAGTACAGAAGGTCAAAAAGAAAATCAGTCTGTTGGATGTTTTTACAATAGACAGTTTTGGGTGAACACTTTGTTTTCCCTTTTGGATAATTTTGGCTAAGCTGGGTGTTTGTTTACAATCTGTATGTTCATCTGGCTGCTTGCGTTTCTTCAACTGTCTGACCTCAGCCATTCGTTTGGTAAGTACAGTGTTTTTATTACCAATAGGAAACATGGAGGAAATAACTGTAATGATCCTTTTAGACCTGCATAGCATTTTTTTTTTTTTTTGTATTCGTTTTTTATTATATTTTGAAGATGACCTGAGCTGTTTTTTTGCGCCCACAGGATCAGAAGAGGAGTCCGGTGTGTGAGAACTCGTTGCATCCCCGTTATCACGCTGCTACACAGGAGCCAGAATGGACAAGCCTCTCTCATTGGCTATCGCTCTCATGTCTTCCACTTAATTCCACCAGCTATGCCTTCCTTCAGACGATTCCCCAGCTGAGAGCTGAGTTAGATTGAAATTACCGTGATTTAATAATGCTAAAAAAAGAAATTGACCCGGCCCTTCATAATGTTGTATATGAAAATATATTGAATGATTTGAATGTTTGTGAGTTGCTGGGGAAACGACTCACCACGACGGGAAAAAAGTGTTTTTCTGTTTCTCCTCATCAGCTACAGGAAGAATATTCATTACCGACATGATGTCACAAGTTCCCATGCTCCTTCAAGACAAGCGACGAATGCTCCTCGCTTCGGGCGTCGAGCCCTCGTGGAGTGAGACTCCGTCTCTGCATCGCTCACTCTATTGCAACATAACTTGATTTGTTCTAGAGGTACTTACTTTCGTCTTCCTTCTCCAGCCTACCTCAGCTCAGATTTCTTAACATGCCTCACACAGGGGGGTCTTTAAAGGTACTGCTGTAGTGATGTTTTTTGTTTGTTTGTAGCTCCCATGAACTCCACAGAAAGTTATCCTCCTGGCAGTCTGGCCTGTCCAAATGGAGAGAGAGGTTGACGCTCAGCCCCTCGAACAGCGAGCATTCGTTGAGGTTGCTGAGCCTCGCATGGGCCCTGTTTTCATTATTTCAACAATGGCAGCTGTTTTCAACATGTTTGTTCTATGTGTTTGGATCATTTTCTGTTTTTGTTGTTTGCAGTCTGTGATTTTTTTTTAAACCTTTCATAATGAACCGGTTTGACTGAATTATGTCGTCGTCATTACGAGCTGTCGTCTCGTTCTCATTGTTTCTCTTGCCAACGGTTACGTCACATGTTTGACCTCAGTGCTGTCAAAGCCCCGATCAGTGCGGAGTGAACAGGCCTCTCTCCTCTGCTACCTTAATGCCCAATTCATCACAATGTTGTATTATCCTCCGATCAGGATATGCTCTCCAGTTGTCTTCCAGCAATTTAGAATAGAAAAGAGACAGTGACTTTTTAATTGTATAACTGGAGTTAAGCCATGCTGGGTAAGACCTTACAGTCCCAAGCATCAGCCCGGTCTGTTGCCGTAGCACCAGTTTCACCAAAGCTCGGTGTTCTTTTCCCATGATTTCAAACTGTAATGGGTATACAGCCTGAGAAATGTCTCAGGAACAATCAAACACTGGAAAAAATGGGAAGAATTCATCTTAGTTACAGTAATGATACCGGAATCGGTAAAAAAAACAACAATCTTTTGTCGTGGTAAATGTGCATTGCTAATCCGTGATTTTGCAGCTTTGAAGGAAGATCCACCTTAAATCAGAAATCAGATACAGTATTTTAAAGATTTATTTGTATTTTTTTATGTTGAACCATTCCTCAAGGCTATAAACAACAGAATCCAGGTTTACATCTCTGTTGCCTATTATTCCCTCTCCTCCTGTTTAGCTGCTCAGGCAGACTTGACGGACAGAAGATGTGTTTGTACCCGAGGAGAATTACTCCGAACACATCAGCTGTGTAAACAACAGTGAAACGGGCCTGCTGAACCACACACGGGCTCAATGACCTGAGACCAGAGGAGTTCTGTTCTAGCGTGGACTTTCCCTTAAAGGCTCAGTGAAAATGTGAAAAGGATTTTTTTTTTCTCAGCAGTCACACTTCAGATAAAGTTTAATAATAGCAGACAAGGAGCTCATGGGTATTGCAATGTAACCAGTAGCACTTACTAAAGCCTCATATGTGCCTTATTCATTCAGACATGCTCATCATCCTTAATAAGGAACCTCCCAACACACTAAGCCCATGCCTGTCTAACCAAAGAGGCTACATATTGAACACAGTGAACTTATTAGAGGATACCTTGTGCCTCCCCCCCTGCTTCAAGGCTTTCCTTAAATCTCAGAATGAAATGTGCTTTCAATGACGAGAGAGAGCATGCCAGAATTAAAGAGCAGATCATCAATATTTTGGACAATCATGCAGACATCTTCCACTGCAGTCCCGTTGTACTAATACCTCACTTTGAATGTGTGCTAAAGTATCAGTGTTTCCTTGTCTGTTATTGTTCGCACCCAAACAGTCTCGGAGACTTGAGATGGAAATGACTGAATTACAAGCAGCACTTTGGCTTGAGCTGGTTTTATAATACAAAAAATAACAACATAAAACATATAGTATTCATTTTGGAAAAAAGCCCAGAACCTTTAGCACATGGATAATAGCGTTGAGTGATGCCGCAGAATATCTGATGCGATGTCACCCTGTTCAAGATCTTTCTTTGTGTTGTTTTATGTGTTTTGTTTTGTTATGTTTTGCAAGAATAATGAGCTGAAACTGCCTTTTTCTATGAGTAAACAAATCCCTCCACAACGTTCAGGGGTATGTCGGTATATTTTGGATACTTTATGTACAAAACGAGAACAAAAAAAAACAACCCAGAAATGAAATAGTGTTGTATTTTATATATAATAGAACATTTCAATATAGTGACATGTCACTAATATATTTATTTACTAATATATTTATCCATTTTGTCCAGGTTTGAAAGAGTGGTTTCTGTATAGACTGAATGTTTCTATATGGAAACTGACCAGTGCCATCACAGATGTATCAACCTGTCTTCATTCCAATTATATGCAAATAAATTATTTTGAAATAAAACCTCTGTGCACAATATATATTTTTTGACGGCGAAACCACCAATTGGATTTTATTTTAAGATCACGTCAAGACCATGACTGCAGGGATATCACAGAATGACCTGTGCATAACGTCAACACTGTGACTGCTCATAGAGAATAAAGGAATATTCCCACACACAAACATCACCTCTGCAATGTCTTTTGATCATTTTATCAAGACATTTTTTCATGGTAAACTTACACATACACAGCATTTATGGCAATAAAAGAGGTGAATAAAGAGGAATGTGGATCTTTCAGTTTGCATGTTCCACATTTCATCGTCAGTGAGTCCTGCAGTGTGGGTGCGGCCCCGCCTTGGTCCTGGCCTTGACTCGGTCTCAAACCCTCAACGTCTTGGGCCATGTCCACATTACTCCGTTTCCATTTACGCATATGTTTTGCTACGTTTACACTGAGCGTCCACACTACGCCGGAGTTTTTCGAGCACCGAAAACGGATACGTTTAGAAACGATGATGCCCACACCCGCGTTCGCTACTTGATTGGTTCTTAGCAGTCATGACGTGTCCTTCCCTGATTCGTCACACTCCTATCACCTAACCCTTACCCGGAAATCATAAACAACAACATTGATTACCGATCGACTACCAGGTTAATTCAACATGGACAACTGATTACAGGCGATGCTGAACTTGTTGTCTTTACTAGCAGCTGTTGTTCAGTTAAAGTCTGCATTAATACGGAGGAAGCAGCTGTTATTGGAGCGATCAGCGAGCAGCGTTATCAGACCTACGGAGCGGACGTCTGAAGTCACATTTAGCGGCTTTCGGGAGGGTGATGGACACAAAACGGAGGACTTTTCTTATTAATGCTTATTTTGTTCTCCACATCTATTGTGAAGTCCGCAGATAAAATGTAAAAGGAACAAAAGCAGTAAATGCTCTCCAGTAGGACAGATAGTTAAGCCACCAGCAGAGCTACGAGTGAGAACAACAACGAAACCGAGAGGGAACAAGTGAGAGACGTGTGTTGACCACATTTATGGACCATAATCTAGTACACCTTTATGTTAGTGTTGATTTTAAAGTGAATTTGATGTGTGAGAGAGCGAGAGAGAGAGACAGAGCAAGACCTGCAGCGCTGTAACTAATGTTAAGTCTGAAAAATAAAACTTTCCACGAACTGTCTGTTTGAATTCATAGAGGAAGATTTTAGAGAAGATCTTAAGTATCAAACACAACCTTTCATTATTAAAGACTACTTTATTACTCTGTCGTATTTCGTTAAACTAAGCAACCAATCTACTTCCTGTTTACATCGACACCCACGCGCATGCCCAGTGTACGTGAAGAGTCACGTGATATTCGTTTTCAGGCGTCTTAGTGTGGACGTATATCATTTCGAAAACGATGTTGAAACGCCGTGTGGACGGAGATAGTTTTTGTTTTGAGATCGTAGTGTGGACATGGCCTTGGTCTCGGTTCAGTCTCGATACACTCTGCTCTCATCTTGGTCATGACTTGACCTTGATCTTGACTGCAGCACTGAATACAATACAAACTGAGTATATTTTACATCAGTTTAAAAATGTCTCCAATTTGTGTGTAAATTGCAGCTTTCATGACTCCCTCATGCAAACCCTTCTGGCTCTGAACGAAAGAGAACACAGTATTGGTTGAAATCCAAAATTGGATATCTCCTACTTGCAAAACAAAAATTCCGTTCTCACCTGAGCTTTTTGTTTTCCTCACTTGTTTATAAGAAACTAATTTTAAAACAGCTGGAAGCCCCTACTGAACAGACATGGAAAGAATGAATGGCATATTATTTGACCATAGGAAAGATAATGCTTGATGATGACAAAATGAAGCAATTCAAAGAGATGTAGAACTAAAATTGTGTGTGTGTGTGTGTGTGTGTGTGTGTGTGTGTGTGTGTGAGTGTGTGTGAGTGAGAGAGAGAGAGTAGAGAGTGTGTGTGAGTCAGTGTGACAGATTGTTCAGGAATGTGATACTTTTAAGTGTGGATTTTAGTCGCCATACATCAACCAGCGACGTTATCTTATATGATGGAATCATGAAATAGCTTTTATAAGTTTGGAAGTAATGTAACCAAACCCCTGTGGTAATAGGCGCGGTATTTAACCAAAAAAGAACAACACTTAACACCAACATCAGTGAAGAGTTCTGTTGTCGAGCACCTACAGTGTCGTGCTTACCCACAATGCTGTTGTAAGTTTTTTTGCACCGTACAGCAACAAGCGTGTCACTGTGGAGACACCAGATGCAAAGGACATGACAGTGTCTTTTTTATCTTCTAACACATTTCAGTGACAAGGAGCAGAGTAGATAATGATTTTAATGTTCAGTATGACTTCAAGTGATATATTTCAGTAATAAAGATTCATGCATTTAAAACACAACATGAAGTAGTCGTTTGAATATTTTGCCAAATAACTCATTTCTTGCCGACAGTTAGATGAAAGCCAATGATTATTTTTCCCAAAATGTCAAACTATTCCTTTAAAATGTGCACCCATTTCCCAAACACACACGCCAACCTGCACAAACAAGAGTTTCTTTATTCAGTAATACAACACGCAATCTGCAGACAACTTAAAGCATATCTGATAACACTTGCAGCTTGTCACATGAAGATATTCAGCGCGCGTTTGATACGCTGAAATGTACAGCCGTCTGTAACAGTCCAAGTGTGCTGGAGGATCAGTAGAAGGCTTTGGCCTGCCCGTCGGGGGTCTGCACAGTGAGGTTGCCCCTGGCCTCTTGGTCCTTCTCAATGGCCTCAAAGAGAGACTTGAAGTTTCCTGCTCCAAAGCCCTGGAGAGAGAATAAGCACACACAGATGGCTAATTACCCGGAGATCTACCGTCTTCTGTGTCATTTGTTATGGCTCTGGGGGGGGAGGCCGTAAAAAAAACTTTGACGTGGGATCGCGACAGGTTCTCAAAGGGTTCAAACACCCACTCACCGGGGGGCTCGCAAATTAATCATGTAAATATTTTCAGAGATAATCTAAAGATCAAGCGTTGGTGGTCGCCCTGAGAGATTCTCTGCTGCGGTTCGGATTCAGTTTCTCACTTTCATGCATTGTATCCACATCTGTAGGCCGAGTGAGATGTTGCAGAGTGACAAGATGTGCCTGTCCTGACAAGCAGAATGTATAGTAGCTGTTATAAATGGAGAGCCACGGGGTGCAACCCAATCCAAAGATCCCCCCTCGATGTGGAGCAGGGAGCCTTTTAATCTGCACGTGTGATGGATTTACTGATCTTTTACAAGTGGGCTACTGTTCACACTGGGTGGGAGCTGCAAACAGGTGTTCAGGAGGCTCTGTCTCAGCCTCTTAAAAGGTGGTGAAGTTAAGAAACAGGACTACAGGCCTGTGGATCCCACCACCAAGACACATTCAACTATACCCTCAGTTTACCAGCTGTACCAGTAGTTTGGGTAACTGGTCCGCGGTACTCACAAAGTGGTTGTTCCGCTGAATGACCTCCAGGAAAAGGGTTGGTCTGTCCTGCACAGGTTTGGTGAAGATTTGAAGGAGGTAGCCCTTGTCATCAAAATCAACTAGGATTTTCAATTCCTTAAAGAGGTAACAGAAAGCTTTTTGTTTAGACAGAAGCAAAAAGGCTGTAAATCATCTCAGGCTTGCTGGAATTGTATGCCTCCTCACCTGTAAACGGTCGAGGTCCTCCTTCACCTTGATCTTGGCGGTTTTAAGATTCTCCCGCAGATTGTTGTAGTACATGTCAGGCGCTGAAAGGAACTCCATCCCTCGGGCGCGCAGGTTCACTACCTGAGTTAAGGCAAAAAAAAAAAAAAAAAAACGCAGGATCTAAAACTTGCCTTTACTTGCAGATTTTGGGGGGGGGGTAGGGGTGTGTGTGTGTGTGTGTGTGTGTGTGTGTGTGTGAAGACGAAGTTTGTGGATTAACATGAAATCTGGTGCAAACGCGGGAGACTCACTGCTTGGATAATGTTTGATGTGTTGAGGGCGATGTGCTGAACACCTGGTCCCCCGTTGTAGTCCACATATTCCTGTGAAAGAGGGAAAGAACATAAAAAGCACTGAGGATGGGCTGTAAACCAGGAGGTGTCACACATTTCGACATTTGATTTTGTTCATTTAGTACCAAATTGCACAACTGTTCCTAAAGCTGCCGGGGGACCCTCTGCGATAAGACCCTGTGATAAACCACTGCAATACACCACTGTAAAGTCACCTGGATTTGTGATATTTTGTTCCCCCTTGCGGGTTCGTTGATGGGCATCTTGATGGTCTCTTCATAGTTGGTCACCACTATGGACCTCAGTGAACTGTACTGCGTGTGGATCTGCTTGTCGTCTATTGACCAGAACCGATGGAACAGCAAACACTTCTGGTACCTGGGAATTGGAGAGCACAAACGTAAAATGTGCTGATGAGCTCTTTTATAGACTAATGTTCTAGAGTAATGATGCACTGAAGCCTGTTTTTGAATACCTGCACTAACATTACCCACTGTGTCAGAGATGGAGTGACCGTGTTTACTTGTCCTTTTGCCCTGTGTGTCTGCTGTTCATGCCGTGTGTACGTGCGCTCATACAGTCTTACCAGTCTGAAATTGGCACCATGTGGTCATCTGGCTGGTTTCCCACCATGTGATCAATAAAGTGCAAACCTCCCGGTGGACTACAAAGAAAATAAGAAAAAAAAAGAAACATTGCATGGGAACTTTTCCATGAAAGTTGTATTTCTTGGAAGCTGTATTTCCATGTAGCATAGAAACGTTAGAGACTCACAGTTTGGCTAACAGAGGATCCCTAAACAGAGGCTCTTTGTAGCCTGGCAGGAATAGGCCTTTGTAGGGACTGAGGTACTCAATGAGTGTGTGTGTTGTATCTCCATACTGAGGAAGAAAACATGAACACACTATTATTCTTCCTTCCCAGTTTCATGTGTGTATTCACACGAGGCTGTCAAACGTGCGTCACTCTTTACGTACCGTTTGGACCACAGCATACTTGACCTTCCCCTGGCTGTCCTGCTCCACCCAGGGTTCCTTCACAATTACAGCTCCTCGCTCTTTAGCCGTCTGTCAGTGGAGTTGTTTTGGGATCAGTTGGGAAATGCAGTTTAACAACAGTTGTTTCTGTCTGCAGACAGCTCATAGAGCCCTCCAGTGGCTAAAGACAGAACATCTCCCCATACATACTGTGATATACTTCTATCTCAGATGAGGCTAATGTTGGTTTCTATGTAAAGTCAGAGGTCACGCTGTCTCTTTGTAGCCAACAGAGGGAGTTTATCCAAACCTCCACTCTGACCGTGAGCTAAAGAGGTCAAAAGAGGCACTAAACATCAAAGCTGCTCTGTCAACACCGGCATGTTTGTCACTGTTTCAACACACACCGAGGACACCGCACATAGTAATTACAATATTACAAATCCGGTTCAGTTTATTGTAAATAAACACAAAGCTTTCTGAAATGTAATTAATGGTGAAGTAGTGTGAAGCCATAATTGACGACAACTCGTTTCATTTCGACCTGTTGCATTGAAACATCGGCTCGTATTCTTCCTCCTTGTCTTTGTTACCTTGATTAGGAAGTCACAGTCCTCCACTTGAAAAGCGATGTCTTTGACTCCGTCTCCATGCTTCATCAAGTGTTCTCCCATCTCTGAGGGAAAATAAAACCATGTTGACATGCTGACATACAGCGTGTTATGTTCTCTGCACGTTATCTTTCGTATAGTCTCAAGTATTGACAAAACTTGCCTTTATTTCCAGGATTTAGTGCCGATTCGTACACAAATATTATCTGTGATTAGAGAGGAGGGGTGGTTCTGAGAGGATAATTCATCATGGATATATTTGTTTATTCAATCAGCACAAGATTCCTGCCTACATACCTTGTCCTGTCTGATGACGTGAGACGCCACCTCCCGGGTGCCGGTCTCCAAACCCTTGTAGGCCAGAGCCTCGAAGCCCATCTTATCGCAGTAGAACGAAGCTGCCTGCAAAGTCATTGTTTTGTTTAAAGTATGTCAAAAGATTGTAAAAAATTATATTTTTCCACAGCTGAAAGTGAAGCATACGCTTTCTTCTCCAATACCTAAAGATGTGAAGTTTATTATCATATTTGACAAATAAAAGCACCAAATCTCATATTTTAAAAGCTAGATCCAGTGTAACTTTGCATTAGAAAATGAAAAAATCGAAATGGTTGTGGATCAATTTTGTGCCGACTCATCGTGTCTTATTTTTTTATTTTTTTGCACAGAAAGTACAGAGGCTGGAAGTCTCAGAGGCTACGGAATAAACAACTCATGGTCATTTTAACTGTATATGAAGAGCAATTAAACAGTTATTATGTAACTTGCAGTTGTTTCTGTAAATTCTGGAACACAGTAACTTATATATACCCGGTAAAAAGTATAAACAAGTATGATACAGACACGGAGCGTTCACACGCTGTACATCTTGATTTCTAAAAAGGTTAACCTCGATCCAAATATGGATTATGTGGAAAAGAATCGGATGTGCTTTTTAACCTGTCACAGATGAAAAGAAAAGTGAACTGATGGTCGTAAGTCAGCGTTTGGACACTGACCTGTTTGGCATTGCCGACCCAGAAGGTGACATGATGAAACTTGACAAACCTTCCCCTTACGTGCTAAAAGGCAAAAGTACAACGGAAGAAAATGAATCAAAGTATCCAACAGTTGAAAGACTACTACAGATATAAAAACACAACACTTTAACTATATGTTTACATTCTTCATGCATTCAAATATTAGTTCAACTAAAGACTTGTATTAAAAGCTCGTATTAGCTGTAGGCTTAGAATAATTCATTTATTCCTACAACATTCTTCTTCTGCAGAACTAACAGTACTGTTAACACTTCAAACCACATCACAGACTCCTGTCCGTCGTCAGAGGCAGCTTTAATCTTACCTTCTCTCCTTTATCAGTGTAGCTTGTCTAAAAAGAAGGAAAAGATAGACATCATCACAACGTCATTCTCAAGTGCTCAGGCTGACCTACAGTCAATAGATCTCTGGTTCTTATCCACTGAGGAGATAATTATCTCCTCAATTACTCAGCTGTGAGAATATCTAATGCCTCCCCCCCTCCCAACTGAGAGCACCTGCTCATCATAATTGAGTCTCTTACCATGCTGTGATTGTAGATGGGCCACAATTCAGAGAAAAGAAAGATCAAAATCACAGTCTGGCCCGTGGGGGTGCAGATAAGTAGTGACTGGATGACCAACTGTGATTGGTCCTTTGGGATCTACACCCACCTGTCCGCCTCCTGCTGCACTTCAGCGAAAAAAGTTCAACAGTAGAAGTTTGGTCATCTCTCCTGAGTCCAATCAGCAGTCAGAGCCTCAGTCGTCATAGAAAACACAAACACACTAACCTCAGCATAGGGGTTACAAATGAGGTACAGATACTACACACACAGTGTGGGATATGTTGTGACTCATTACAACTTAAAACAAAAGGATGCATGCAGAATGTGTAGAACTGAACTGGGAGCGCGCAGCACTAAATAATAATACAGTAATCCTGCCTAATCCTGCTCTACACCAGTTCCTCTGAGAGCCCTCTCTTGTTTTCACCACCAGAGGGTGCAACATGGCCTGATTTAAACAGATAAGCAATCATGTGCTATACAACCAGAAAATTCAGAAATGTCTACGAGTAAATTAACTGGTTTTGAATAATTAATAATTGTATTATTATTCTGAGTGATTACATATTCTATCTAGACCCATTCATTTCCTTTTCATAAGGACTCACACATTGAAATATGGACAAAAACAGGCTGCAATCATGACTTCCACAAGATAATTACAACACCTCATTCTTTCTTGTTTTCAGTGTGCTCTGGATCATCACAGTGTCTGGCATATCAAAAAGCCTGATAATAATAATAATAACAATAATACATTTTATTTATTCAGCGCTTTTCATAATTCTCAAAGACACTTTACATTAAAATCATCATATAAAGGAACGCTATACACTAACATTTTAAAACACATAATGACAGCAAAATGTGCGCACGCAGCGTGTTTGACGGTCTTTGGGGTTAGAGTGAGGCGCTGTTGACTGGTAATGGAGAGCATGTGAGGTCAGGTCCAGGCTGTTACAGACAAGGCTGGTGAACAGAAATAGTGCCTGGCCCCGGCTACAGTGCTGTAAACTGCGTGGGCATGCCAGATGTATGTCCCACTGAGTGTGTGAGAGAGCTCCACGAGAAATCACGAGAAATCAATGATTAATAGCCTATGTTTAAATAAAAATATATTGATTGATTAATTGTTTTGTTCATTAAATGTCAGAAAATAGTCAAACATTCCCATCACTTGTTTCCAGAGTCCAAGTTAACTTTCAGATTGCTTGCTTTGTCCAACCAACGGTTCTAAACCCCAAGATATTCAATTTAGAACACAAAATAGAGGTTAAAAACAGTAAATCAGCACATTTGAGAAGCTGGAACCAGATTGGTTTTGATTGGTAGATGTGAAGACTTTTTCTAAAATTAACTGTGACCTTTGTTTCGACCTCCCTTTCACGCTTCTCTCTTTCACTTTCGTTTCCATTACCACTTATTTTAATGTTTTATAGATCATTGACATCTATGGTTCAACTCATTTACAAAGCTGTTCCTTTCAGTTTTTAAAAATTTAAATTTATATAGTTTAAAAATTAAACCAAAGTCTTGTATAGTTTTAAATAATTGACAACCCTGCCGGGCTGTGCCTGCTATAACAACGCGTGGTTGTGCGCACGTACCTTGTGTTTGTGTGTATCCAGTTTGTGCCGCGCTGTGATTTTCTATTGGTGCGCGCCAGGAGCTGTGTGGCACCTGATTGGCTCCGCTGTGGGTGTGTGCAAGTCACTTGCTTGACTGTTGTTAATCCTGATTGGCCGGTAGGAATTATGTCGCGCTATTGGTCTATAATACTCAGTGTCGTTCTTGGCTATTGGCTGGCGCTTTTGTCATCGCAGAAGAATGCGGAAGTCGTGTAGTCTACTGAGTCACCGTTGTGTCAGCTGATTCTCTCAGAGTGAGTAACTCGATTTATTTTTTAAAATGAAGTAACTTCCACGTAATGTATCGTGTGTGACATGGCCTAATGCTGACATGTTTGTGTTGGACGTGTGGACCTTGAGCCGCTTTGTCGTTTTCTATTCGTAAAAGAGCGAATTTTACATCCAGTATCCGGTGGCTAGCACGATGCTAACGTTTGCAAACACTGCACACACACACACACACACACACTTTCGGTATGTCAACTAGTCGCCTCCTAACACTGTGGCAGTCCGTAGTGAGGCTCTCGTGCACTTTCACTTTCACCATACGTGTCGTTAAACTTTAGCCCCGTTAGTCACACCTGTTGTGTTGTCACGAGTCGAACACAGCACCTGTTATTCTCTGCTCTGGTGGAGCTGGACATTTCTAGTTAGATCTGTGGTTTGGTGAGAGGTATGTAGTCTACCTTGGAATCCCCCTCCTGGACTTTTATTTTATACTTCCTTTTTTTTTAAAATCCTACCCTCATTGTGATTATACTGTTCAGAGTAATGTATTTTGGGAGACTGTTGTGTCGTGTTGAGACATATTTCTAATAATCAAAGAGAAAGTAATCAAATCTAGTGTTTTGTCCACCCCATTTACAAAGGTAGTGGAATAAACTGATTGTTATTCAGCTTTGACTATAGTGGTGTGTGTGTGTGTGTGTGTGTGTGTGTGTGTGTGTGTGTGTGTGTGTGTGTGTGTGTATCAGACTTATCTCTTCATAGCTTCACATAAATGTCCTCAGATGATTACTTGAAAGGATGGAGAAGCGATTGAAATGACAAATCCGTGTGTTTTGAATATCTCTCACCCTGAACCCTAAACTTTATGCATATATGTTAAAGGTCTTAGCTGGTTCCACGGTATTCAAAGTAACGCAAGTGGCACTGAATGTATTTTGCAGAATCGCATCACTTTTCAGTTATTCTTTGATGATAATTACATTTGTATCGTATTTTATTGAGACAAAATATTTGGACAGCTTGCGTTAGGAAGAACGTATCTTTTGAGATGATTGTCGTTGTATTCGATGCAAACGGGGGAAACGCTTTTTGCAGAGAATCATTTTCAAACCTCTCAAAGTAAGTTATCAACAGAAGTTGGCCTATCATATTGGTATATTGTATCAATGCTATCATAGACATGTTTCAAACAATAGCTGGTCCCATAACTGATTTTGATGGAAATGCAGATGGCAGTGGGGATATTATTTTGAAATAGTTTTTGAAGAATCATCAAGGCTGTAAAATTTGGTCAGAAATGTATTATTAGATAAATAAATAAATGACTGTCATGTACAGTACACAGCAGCAAGACGGGATTTGACATGCACAAGTATGCAGAATGCCGGAAGCTTCGCTACCTGGAATTAATAGTAAAACAGCTCACATATTCAGTTTTTCTGCATTTATTTGTTTTAAAAGTATTAAAGAGACAACACCCAAGCAGCTCCTCCCCTGGGGGATTTATTTCCACAAGCATCGCCTATAAACTAGTGTCAGATTGGTAAGGAAGGCGTTGTGGTACGAACGTTTTGGATTTCAATTTGTTTTCTTTCTTGCTGATACAATTTCCCCAAACTTTTTTTTTTTTTTTTTTTTGCAAAAGCACAATGATCACAAAGGGGCAGTTGCAGCCTGGGCGTCATATGTTGTGTGTGTTTGTATGCAGAGGGGAAGAACTTCAGACGAGGTGCACTGTTAAATGAGTTCTACCACCAAATTATGCCTTGATAAAGAAATAGCAATTTACTCTCAAAATGTGATAAATAGTGCGAGCGCAGTCGTTTGAGGAATAAATGTTGCAAATGTTGATTATTAATTAAGTGCGTGGCTAATATGGAGGATTGCTGGCTGATGCCGCTTCAGAGCTGCCCGGCTTTTTGGACTCTTCTGGCTCATTGTTTTGGTTTTACAGGAACGTACTGTGTGGTTCAAACAGCAGCAGGTATCTATTTTTAGCCAACAAGCTCTGCTAAACCCACTGTACACTCTTTCCCCAGCACCAAACTGCACACAAAGTGAGCAACTAACAAGCGAGCATCTAGCGAGAGATCCAGAGAGGTTTCTCAGGGCTCGGTTGAGTCCAAATCGGAGCATAAAGGAGAGTAAACAAAGGACTTGCATTCATCAGATGGCCAGAAACCCAATAACAGTCCATTTTTAGCTCACATGTAAGCCATCACAGCGTTGAAAGTCAATGATATGTCAGGCTGCTGTTGGGTCCTCTTCCCCCCCCAAGTAACCAAATACTCAGTTAAAGCAGCTTCAAAGGTTTGGTCTCCTCGCTATTTCTACTTGATCGTTTCTCTGCTAAATGTGTGTTTGTTTACACACAACTTTTTAAATTGTCTGACACTGTACTCTTTGTTGAGTCACTGGTCACTCACGTTGCTTTGAGTGTGATATTGTACCCTTTTATTTTTTATTTTTGAAAGCAATTTTATGACTGGTTGCCTACATGTGGTGATTTCTAGTTTCCTGGCTGATCCCTTTTGATCAAATGAGTCATAAGTGGAGGTGAGTGAAATGTCGAGTTTGTCCCCTGTAGCACGGGTTCTTTGAGAAGCCGGCACTTAATGAGTAGGAGGGAGAACGCGTAAGCAATAGAGACAGAGCTAGTGAGTGAGCGAGAGAGGGAGGTGTGTCATGCACTGGATTACAACCAGTATGTGTTTGGGAGACGGAGACTACTGCGACTTTTACGAGGCATTGAGCTTTAATTCAACCTTTTGTAAAAAGGGGTAGACAAAAGTTTCAGCAGAAAGTTGTACAGAGCACTGATTCAGCGCTTTAAACAGGTAAGAGGAGACAACTTTAGGAACAGCACTTTTGTGAGTTGAGAGTAGTATTTTCGCTTTTCTTTTTTGGTGGAGCCGTGTGCAAAAGGGGGGTGTGTCTGGCAAAGAAAGTGTCGGGAAGTAAAACGAGAGCACTAAACAGCGAGAAGTTTGATCCGGTTTCAAGTTGTCCTTGTAATCGTGGATTTATAGTCGAGTCCTAAACACAAGAAAGTGAACACTATGTCCATGTTGTGTCTAGCTGTCTGCGGGTTACTCTCTTCAAATCAAACATGCTCTGAGCTGCCTGACTGCAGTATCGGTGTCATTTCGTGACTGACGGTGAGTATTTCACCGTGTTGTTTATTGCCCGTGTGGAGCACCTTTTCGGTGTGTAGGAGTTCTGTGGAGTTTGTCCACGTCTTGCTTCTCCTGCAGTTATCAGTTTGGCTGCTCATAATCTGATGAGGAATGTTGAGTTTGCGTTTCCTGTATGTCGGAGTCTTTCCCGTCGGGGTCGGGTCAGCTCATCCCCTTCAAGGTTTCCACCCCAGCGTCACACTTCACACATGCGCCCGCTTGTCTGTCTGCAGCGCTGCATGTGTGTTTACATTGACTTGACCTGATTTGTAGAGAGCACCGCTTGTCCTTGTATGCACCACACTCCTCTGAGAGCTTGGATTTTATATTATTTATTTGTTTTCGCAGTGGGTTTAACGATAAAATGTGAAGTGCATCCATACTCGACTTCTTCAAACAATGAGATATGTTCTGATTTTAGTGGCAGCTTTCATTCTACTTACTGTACTTTTCGACCAAGGAAGGTTGTTTTTGTTTTTTTTGTAATCCAGCACGTAAAGCAAATCACACACACACCCCAATCGCCCACATGCACACAATCATGTACACACACACACACACACACACACACACACACACACACACACACACACACACACACACACACACACACACGCACGCAATGTCTGAAGTTAGTATGTTTTTGTGTTGGCAGGAGCCATCGCTGGCACAGCAGAGCCCAGTAGACAGGAGGAGAGGGAGGGATCGGAAGAGGAGCGCCCAGACCAACTGTCTACAGCCCTGGCTGGCAGCATGGTGAGCCAGTCCCTCTATATATTGTTTATGTTGTACTCTCGACACCCTACCTGCTTTCAACATAATGGACAAGCTGGGACTTTTTCACACAGGGTATTGCACAATAAATCTTACAGGCCTAAACGAAGCACGGGCTTCTGAGACACGTTTACCAACAGGACTCAAAACTTTTGTCACTTTTTTTTAACTTGCCAGAAATGTGCTTTAGGGCTACGCTGTTACATGATAATTTAGACAATGTATCCATTGTCTAAATTACTTTTCTTTCTTTTTTTTGTATTCCAAATATGATACGATATAATATTGCAATGTTCCACTTACGAGTCGGAGACAGAGTGAAGTCTTTGCAAGAGGTTTATTAACACAAACAGTCAACAATAGTGCCGAGCTACTCCAGCGAACATTATCGGTCTTCGTACAGTGTTTTCATCAACTCTCTTCTTTGTTGGTTCTGGTCTAACGAACTTGACTAGCTCCCGACACAGAACAGGTAACCCCCTCCTCCCCTCTGCTCTACCAATCACAGGGACGCACCTTGACTAACGTGTCCAGTGCATCCCGTGATTGGCCAGAGAGCGAGGCGACAGCCTGACTCCTCTACTACCAGCTGTTACTCTACAGGGTCGCTACAATATTGAAAGAAATACAGAATCTTCCACAAAACGAAGTGTTCTGCTCTTGTTTATCAAATGCAGGAGTAAGAACAACATTGCTTTAAAGAGGGGACAACTTGTCCATGAGCAGAGACGTTGGGTCCATTCCTCCAGAAGCCAGTGAGGGAATCATGTAACTGTCGCTAAATAAGCGGCTCACGCTAGTCGTTCATGGTCCCTGCACATATGGAGGCTGGGATCTTTTGGGTACGTAATAACAATTTAGCGACAGTCAGCACTAAACAGGGATTTGTAGAAAACCAATTTGAGTGAGTGAAAGTTGATCGTCCATTAGCAGTGTCCTCAGCAGCGGTTACAACTTGTATTGCTTTTTCATTCAGGAGCGGGCTCCTGCATCAGTAAACGTGTTGCATAGCAGCTAACAGTCTGTGATGTAGCTCCCCGACACACGTCTCCTGTTCACGTGGAGAAGCTCGTGGTGAATCAGCTAAATGACCAAAGAGTGAAACCAAATGCTTGCGCTATATGTCGGTGTCCACCCAAGATGCCCGGGGCATCACTCTGCCACAGTTGAGCTCTGGATCTGTTTATTTCTGCCGACCGCCCTCTAGTGGATATCACTGTCTGTTCAGCTCTGTAGAAGATCTAGGACTCAATGGGTTTTGTATTACGTAACATTGGCATGGAAGTAATTGGTGCAGAAAGATGGAGAAATATCTGCGCCGATTGAAGTTGCCGCATGCACTGTTTGGAAATGCTGAGTCTCACATTTTGCTATACCTGAGAAGAGCAGCGGTTTGTCTAATCATGCCGCAGATGTGGGCCTTAGGGTTATAATTACACTGAAGCATTCAACATGCAAAACTACTTATAGGTCACAACTCTACTCACATTTTACAAGAGCACTGCAAGCTGTGCATTGTATTTGAAGGTAATTATTGAGTGTATGTGTTGTGGCTTGATGACTATATGTGACTCTAGGCTCAGTTTCTGAGAGCTTAAGAAATGTACATAGACACAAGTACTCTTAATTGGATGTTGAATGCAAATTCCCCTTCAAGTTTAGCATCAAATACTGAAAATACTGTATGTTGTAATTTGCGTTTTGAAACCGATGGCACCATTATACTGTATAACTTTGGAGAGAGCCCCGGCCACATGATAGCCGGTTCCCATTCACTTTCTCAGTGAACGCACACTAAATGTGCTTCAGCCAAGATACACGGTGCTTTAAGAGAGGGGGAAGCTTTGACCAGATGAATGGCAAATTCCTCTTGAAACTAATGGACGCAGCTTTTGTGGGACAGAAATAGGAAGTGTAACAGGAGGATGTGTGTCCCGAGGTTCTGGTCAACGGGCTCCACAGAATGCCACCGTGGCCAGCTGCCCAGCTTCAGGCCTCTTTTGTGGGACACGCAGTCGAGCTCTGGGCTTTAATTGATGAACAAATAATGTGCCCATCAAGGCACATAAAAGGGGAACGCAGACCTGGGCTCGTCCTGTGTCGGTTTCATACCATTCTGCTGTCGGTACACTCAACAGTGAAGTCTGGTGTACTGACCAGAATACGTTTCTACATCTCTGCAATTAAATCAATGGAGACCATCAAAAAAAACATATTTGAAGTTAAGTTAGTCTGTGATGGACAGATGCACAGACATCCGTATTATTTGTATACAACATGAATATAGGTCATTTTTAAGTGTATCCACAGCTATTGATATTTCTGTCTGTTCTCTGTTGTTGATCTACGGGTTATTTGCTGAGGTGGGATTGTGAGACATTTGTTCCACAGGTAATGTGATCCCTTTAACTCGTCTTGCGAAGCAGCCTTTAATTGCTTCCCAGCCTCCAGTTTTTTCCGCTGAAACAAAACGGGAAGTATTGAATTCATACTGTCGTCCATTCATGCTGCCGCATTGTTAAGGGGAGAATGCGAGCATGGAAAGTAGGACAAAGGGGTCGTTTTACCCTGCCCTCAGGGCCCACAATGCATTGTAAAGCTACCTTGGTGGGGTTGTGGAGAACTAGCGAGAGAAGTTTCTGTGTCACTGCTCCACATATGATGTTACCTGCTCTCATAAGGATGCCGTCACTTGTATGTGTGATGTGGTTTTTTTTTTTGGTTTTTTTTCAAAACGCACTAAGCAGACAGCAGAAGGTCTCCGTTAGGGTTGTAGTTGAAGCCAGAGGGTTCATTCCAGGTTGTGGTTAATGATTTGTATGTCACTTTGGCTTCAGGCGCTGTTTGAACCTGCTCTGGTTCCTGACGTCTGGCTGTCAGGCTCTGGTTCCCCGTTCCTCCTTCATTCATTCAGAAATAGTGATTTCTGTGTTTTTTTTTTTTTGTTTTTTTTTTTGGTCATCGCCTGTTGACCAGAGCTATTGTATCTGTGAGGGGGTTTTGCTCTACAGTTTAGTTACATGGGTGAGCACTTGAGGCGACTGTGGCTCAGTGGTAGAGCGAGTCGTCCTTAAATCAGAGGGTCACGGGGGAATGACGTAGTGTTAAAGCGCTTTGAGTGGTCGTAGGACTAGAAGAGCACTATACAAGTCCATTTACCATTGTAGTCATCATATTGGACGGCCTACATGTTAATGCTTTTAATACATAAGTTGTTTCAGACTAAAAACTCTGATTTGTCACAGTTAGATGTACGACTCTGTCATACAAATAGGACACATCACAGACTGCTGCATCATTTTACCAACAAAGTTATTATAATTAGTTATTATAAACACTTGTTTCCAGCAGATTGTAGAATAGTTACAGGATATGTCTTATATGATTTTTGTAAAAGGCACCAAAAAACCCTTTTTACAGACACTTAAACGTGTATGTGCAAATATCTTCTGGAGTTTGAATAGCTCCGTATAGTCTCCTAATGCCTCCTAATTTATTATTCATGTCCTCTTCTATAGCTGTGTGTCAACATGTGGGCTGACGCTCTGCGTTGGTGACTCACTGTCCTCCTTTCCTAAAATAAAAACTGACACACGAGGCCAAATCTGGTGCTCACTTTTGCGACCTGTTCGGGCGGGGCAGGGGGGATCTGAAGGAATTTTAGGAATTCAGAAATTCCTAAAATGCTCTTATTAAAATTACATATAAAGTAAAGCTGATTTACATAAAGCATATTTCAGTTTTGAATGATGTACCTGCTGAGGTTATTACTGAAGGTCTGAATAAAGAGTTTAAAAAGCTTTCTTTATAGTGTTGCGAGCTCATTAAGGGGGAAAGCACACCACACTTCCAAACTTGATGAGGTTGCACTTGTCCAGGATACATTTGTCAATCTTTGGGATTTTGCCAAAGAAATAAACACTTCAAACTGTGGCGCCAAACGATTTTTCTGTCACGCATCACAAGACGGAGAGGCCGGCATAGCTGCTACAATCCGTCTGCCTCTCGCTCACACAAGCACGTGTTCCCTGATAACGCACGTATACCAGTACGGGTGTTTTAGTAAAGCTGGTATTTTGGTGCTTACGCGCGATGCGTTAAGCTTTATTTCACTTTATTTCTCTCTGGGATAATGTCACAGGTTTACCATGTGACATGAAAGTAAATCTCTGTACGTTGTGCTTGATTTGTGGAAGTGCATTTTACAGACGCAGAGTCCATTTACCTGATGAGATGAAAGTCATACTGCACACGAGTGCAATTCATCATAAGGCTCTAGCTTCTAATATAGTGCCATATTATGCCAACTTATTATAAGTTTAAAGATGATTCAGACTAGGCATTAAAAAATGGTGACGATTGTGAATTTGGATCTATCAAATCTGCATGAAATGGTCTTTTTTTGTTTTGTTCAATAGCCAATATCAGTGTAGAGTAGAATAATCTAGAAACAAGTAATTATCTTGAGTGCATTGTATTGATGGATGCTATAACATTAGCAAATGTTCCCACTAAACCATGATTAAAGGGTTAAAACGAAAACCTTTTCTTGCTCAAACAAACCCAAGTACGAATAGGTGCAACTATAATAAGAACTAAACTGCCAAATAACGTTTGAATCACAAACTAATGCAGTTGCATCTAGTTTCAGTTTTCATTTACAATAACTGCGGACCGACAGTAGATACTGATCTGAGGGCTGTGCAGGGGAAATCTGTTGAATGAAATGCTGACACGTCTTTCTGTTGCATAACGATTCCCCTGTGATTTGTAACGTCCATACTGAGTTGCTGTTGATATCCTGTGCGTGTTATGATGGTATCTGTATTTTAAATACAGCAGAAACCTGAATTGTCTGTAAATTCAGTATTGATACACATTGTGGAGGCCTGTGCATGCACTGTAAAATAAGATGTAGGTTTTACATCTTGCTGATGGCTGTAATTCTATGAAAATCACAGATATCCTTTATAACTGACCCT